CAACGATAGAAGACCGATAGGTCGGAGGCTACCATCAGTGCCACTGCCTGATGTTTCTGTGGCCCTGCTGTATTCTCGAATGTCACGTCTCTCGCCCAAAAGCCGTCACCAAATATACCAAATGTGGCAGAACTTAAAGTGCTCGAACCATCTTGTACATTTTGGTTCCCAGTGACTATGGTTTTATCCATTCCATCTCCAACGAACATCACATTCTTTAAGTCCCTTCCTATCTCGACTTTCTCACGGTACACCCCCGATTTCACGTATAGAATAGTTCTTTCAGGCCGGTTGGTGTGCATTCTAGCAAGTGCAACCACGGCTTCATTAATTGTCTTGTAATTCCCCGAGCCATCCTGAGCAACTACAAGATCAGCCTTTGAGGTTGCTGCATTCCATGATGCTAAAGTCCCCCCAACTTGGTCAGTTTTAGGCCTCTTCTGAAACCCTGAATTATACAGAGAAAGACTAATTATGAAGTGCATTGCAATTCACAATTGCAGATAAATATACTATAAGTTACTTATTTGACACAAAAGAGTAAATTCCAAAATTGACCAGTTTTTCAGAAAAAAATAACTTTATCAAACAAGTAGTTTTTTATTTGAAAATAAAAAGAAATGCAAGCTTGGGGAACATTAAACCGAACCTCCGAACAATGTAGATACATTATGAAAAAACTTTTCAGTCTAAGGAGTAGGAGCTAAGGAACAAAAAAACAAAGTTAATTATCTCGTGTGACCTAGTCATAATCCTTGTCATACTATGATAGATATTGTATCTTGTTGGTTTAGAAGTTCGTTACTGTACTCATCAAAGTTATCAATGCCTATTTACAACCCGTTTTTGGCAAGTCTAATCCATATCAATGTTGTATGCATCGAAAAGCATCGCTTGCAAAACAAAGGTGCTGAGACGTAGAAATAAAACTATCAACTCTGTCCCAAACACAAATCCTGAACCTTTATATACTAAAGACAAATATAAAGTATTGGAATAATTAACCAATATACTTACTGGAATAATTAACCAAATGGAAATCAAATGAGAAGCAAAGCAAAATATAAACATGTGAATTTACTGAGGTTCACCCTTTTGTTTTCCCCTTGCGTGGCCTCCTTGCTGGTGAACTGCCAGAGCTCCCCGAAGCACCGCCGTCAAGCTCTCTGCCACTCCACCGTCAAACCGCCACATCTTTTCTTTCAACCCATTCAAGCAACTGTTGTGGCTAGCCAACACAGCACTTAGCCAAGTAACTGCATCACCTTGGCTGCAACTACAACTCTCACCAGACATTAACCGGGCCAGCCTCGGCTCAGCATCTTCGTACAGTTTCACACAGTCACTTATAGCCACACCAATAGAACTCGAATCATTGCCCGATCCATGAAGCAACTTCAAACCCTGAGCCCATTCTATTGCATGGAGAACCCCCGAATGCGCCATTTGA